GCTCAAGTCACTAAGGTTGATAAAGACCTAGACGTCAAATGTGGGATGAAGCGGCTGGTGTATCTGAGCTTCTTCTACAATGTGCCTGCACTTCTGAGTCCTCACAGAATGATTAAAGACAGAAACTAGGTGCAACCTGACCTGAGTTTGACTCCCAGATTCCCTGCTTTCTAGCTCTTTGGCTTTTTAGCAAATTCTTGAAGTATTTAAAGCTTTGATGTCTTTATTGATAAGATGTGGCCAATATAATGTTGTTATGAGCTTAAAGTACAATCACGCATAATACAAGATGCTAGTGTAGTCCTTGGGGAGAGGAGGCACTTACACAATGATAAATACCAATAAATATGGTTACTTTAGAACTTTTATTCACCTTCACTGGCACCCTCAGTGCATTGCTGTCCATGTCGCATTCCCAGGCTGACTCACAGTCCCGTTAGTCTTTCCTGATACTACCAGCGGGCACTACCATGTCCACAGTGCTGAAGAAGTTAAAATCCAGGCCAGCTTTTAAAATATCATTCTTCATTCTGGCTGTCTTGCCTGGTGCTTTCTTATTCATCCTACCTTCAGGCTTTTCACTCTGAACATTTCTTAGCTTTACACGCCTTCTGCTACTCTGAGTCAGAGCACCTGAGAGCTAAAAACAAGGAAACATCTTGTTCTCCTCTCCAGTCTTCCAGGTGGGCCTGAAATAAGCTGACTGGAGGTGCTGCACAACCCTGCAAAGGCGCCTCCGCATGTTCCAGCTGTCAGGCTGTGGATGCGCATGCTGTGCACCCGAGTGTGTACAAAACACTGCTCTCCAGCTGCACTATAACTGAGCGATGCTTCACCCCGACCGCTCCACAAATTCTGAGAGGCAAATGGAACGTGCCAGGGGCCGTATTCCTTTTCCATTAGAAAAAGCAATTTTGGGGCCAGCTAAATAGCTCAGCAGATTAAAGTGCCTGCAAACAGGCACAGGGGCCAGGGGTTCGATCCCTGGGCCTGCTGTGCCAGCCCTGTCCCCGGGTCGCGCTGAGACAGCAATTGAGACTGGGCGAGGTGGTGCGAGCCTGTAATCCCAGCTCTTGGGAGGCTGTAAACAGGCGGATCACTAGAGTTCAATCTAGTAGTGAGACCCTGAACACCCTGTATACCCTTCCCTAAAA